TGCTCCTCCGAACTCTTCATCCCTACGTGAATTGGAGGAGACTGTTTCGCACTCATCAAAGAAACCAGAGCGGGTTGAGCAAGTTTATGCACAACTTGCTCAAGATCACCCGTCTGCTACCATACTAGAAGAGGAGGAGGAAGAAGAAGGCTACAAGGACATTGTGGAGCACACTGAAGTTGTCACGGAGAGCTCCCGTGATGATCATGATCAGGAATGTCCTGACGTAGCCGACCACACCTTCCCACATCCCAAACTGAGCTTTGAAGAGGCGGGCATGAGTGAGGAGATGCAAGAAGATCTCATGAAAGAAATTGCTAGGCAACTTGCTCTCCAATCCGTGCTAGAAGAAAAAGAGCAAGAAAGGGTGCAGAAAGAAGTTGTGGAGGATGACGAAAGTGAAGCAGAAGGAGTTCTTGATCATTTCCCAGAGGTGATACCACATGAAGAAGAAAGGGAGGTTGAAGAAGAAATTGACGTCCATGGTGAGGACGGAGTTAAGGTGGAAGTGGCTTGCACCGACCATGAGTTGCAAGTAATATCCCCACCAAAATTCGAGAAACTGCTTAGCAAGGACCCATTTGCAGTGTCTCTTTGCCAGACCAAGGCCACATCGACATCGGTTCCTCTTTGTGGACGCGATGGTGGCAAATCGATGTTGCCATATCTGGTTTGGGGCAATGAGACGAGAGAAGAGAAGAAGAGGTCTCGAGGGTGGAGACTTCATTTGCATCAAGTCCATGAGCCTTCATCACCTGCCACACAACATGCTCGTGAATTGAGACTCCACCTCATTGACGAGAACCTCAACTTCAAAGAGGTTTTGGGGTGGACCGAAATTTAGGAACTATCGTCCGGCTCATGACGTGAAAGAAGCGCTTATTGGGAGGCAACCCAACCAGTCAGTTTGCATTTCTTTCCCTATTTCTCCTCGCTTGAGTCAGTTTTGTTATTTTATTTTAGAGTCAATAACTCAACCTTTGTGAGATTTTATGTGGTGTTTGTGTTCTGACTACTCTCTCCTCTTGGAATGCACCGCCTACCTCGTTCACCTTCATTCAACCTTGATCTGGTAACTTCGTTCTACCCTCCTTATCTTTCCTCCATTGAGGACAATGTCATGCTTAAGTGTGGGGGGATGTTCGATTATGTATGCGGGTGAATGTTTGGCTGTTTGTGTGCTTGGAGCCTAGTCCACTGTCCAAATTTTTAAATTTGAGGGCTCCAAGTACGTGTTTCCTTGCAAATTTTCTGCTCAGTATGCTTTGAATTGACAGTCTCTATAGTAATGTGCAACCTAGGGAGGTAGTGTAGCACTATAGAGGATGTTGAAGTATAAGATTTTTCCTATCCAGCTCTCTGTTGTGCCAGTTGATTTTGTGAATTAGTGGAGCTAAGACCGTTGAATGTATGTGGTAATGGTGACTCTATTTGGATTGTGTTATGGACTCGTGTATCAAACAGGGTGCTCATGTGAAAAATGAAAAGCAGTTGGTCCTCCATGTCGAAATCATCGAAATCTTAAACATGGGGTAAGCCCAACGTGTGCGGCACCGTTCATTGCACAAAATCGGGTTTTGGAAGAGATTTTAGTGATCCTTAGTGGGGTACTACTATTAGGTGAAGCTACGCTGTCTCTAGTACAAGTAAAACTTCCACCCATTGAACGGTTTCCCAACTTGAGGATGTGTTTTTAAGGGCACGGATAGAGCTTCCGACCCCCCTTAATTTCATTGACCCTCCACACGAGTTGAGGAAAAGGAGTTAAAAGAAGTACTCTAGCGAGCGCCAGATGTACAGAAATTTCTCTTGCTCGACTAATAAGGGTCAACCATGCAAAAGACTGCAGTTGGAACCCCCGCCAAGTGAATGAAAAAGAAAAAAAAAGTAAAATGAAAGTGAAAGTGAAAAAGGGGTTCTAACGGTGAAATGAAGTGAAAGAGCACCCTGGTACAACGAGTCCTTGGTTGTGAATGGTGTGAGTCCCTTTATCCATGAACTGACTGTCTTACTTATACTTCTTCTCATGATCCTAACTTGAGTCTAGTACTCGAATTGAGGGAGATAGGGAACGTCTTAGAAGACCAGTTGACCTTCTAAGCTGCTATATGATATAGGAAATCCTCTACTGACGATCGGGGTTGTATGTTGCTATAGAGGTCTGGAGAGCTGCATTAGTTTGAGTTAGGTTTGCTTGGGGACAAGCAAACGGTTAAGTGTGGGGGGATTTGATGACTCGATATTTGCACATGTTTTCCCCTTTGTTTCTTGATCGTTTGAGCTTTAATTATCGCGTCTTTGGCCTATTTTATGCTAGGTTGTGTTCCTTTGTCACATTTCAGGTCCTAGCATATAAAGTGAAGCATAGGCGCAAGTTTCAAGTCAATCAGAGATCAATTGGCGATTAGGGAGAAGAAACTCGGGCATGACCTGAAGAAGAATGGATTTCTACCTCAATTTATGGACAAAGAATCATGCAAGATTCTCATGAAAAGAAAGAGGACAAGACTATGAGCGTCTGGGATCAAACGACGACTGATTCAGAGTCCGGACGAGGGAGAAACAAAGCATTGAATATAGGGGAACAGGTTCGGCAGTAAAAACACGGGCACGCCTAAAGAAAAACACGGTCGTGTCCATATTTAGGCACGACCGTGTTTTGGCCGACGAGGGCTGCTGGGGGAAAAACACGGGCGGGCAAAAGTAAAACACGTCCGTGTCCTCGACCGTGTTTTGCCCAGAATCGGGTTTTCTGGCAGATTGAAGCCAAAGGAAAGGGAGGGCTGGGTTTTTTTTATCCCAAACACCCAAGGGTCGAACCCTAGAGAGAGAGAGAGAGCGACTTGGGAACATTCTTGGAGCTATTTTGGAGGATTTCTTTGCCATTGGAGCTCGGGAATCAAGCTTGAAGATGGATATTGAAGATCTAGATCAGATTTCTGCAGTCTCTCTCTTCTCTATGGAGTAACTTCCCTTCACTTAGGTTTTGAGGAACCCTAGCTATGTTTGTTTGATTGGATGATTGTATGAGTACTATGACTTGATAACCTTGAGTTCATATTCAACCTATGCTTGTTTTCATGATTCAATTCTGCTTTAGTCGAGATTATTGATTCTGCTTAGATCCTATGAGAGCGAATACCTGATTAGGTCAATAGAGCACCATAGATTGATAGCATTGGATCGATTGCTTTAGTCGAGGGTTGATTCGCTGCTTTGTATCAATTGAGAACCTCTTTCAATAGAGAGAGTCTAGTTCAGAACGCCTTGATCGGTTGTTCTAGAGAAGGATACGTCCCTCTAGGCAATTGACTCAAGACGGCCTGGTTCCTTTAGTCGAGACTCAAGGTCTAGTCAAGGATTCTCCGCATTGTGATTGAAAGTGAAACAGGTTAGAGATCATCAATCATTAATCTGGCTAGTGGCTAGGGAGAATCATACCTAAGTGAGTTCCCAATCTGTAATTAGATTAACTTTAACTGTAGTTTGCTAGAGTAGTTTTAGTTGTTCTATCTTAATCTTGTTTGCTAGATAATGAACTGAAGCTGAGTAATAGTAACTGTAGAGACCCGTGGATTCGATATTTATTACTTGAGCCACTATACTGTAGTCCCTTTCATTGGTCACACTTGGCCATTGTTAGGAGCTGTGTTATAGCGAGTCAGCTGGGAAGTTGAAGAGGAAGGGAGGGAGAGGGCTGCTCGACAGTCGAGTAGAGAGGGAAGAGGGAGACGACAGAAAGAGTGAGAGAGGTTTAGAGAATTAGGATTAGGTTTAATGTTACTTAGTGGTAAATCCCACTTATAAGCATATTTATTTCAATGCATAATTCTCGAATACTACCCCAAGTAATTAATCCCCCACAATTAACCTGAAATAACCCCAATAATCCGAAAGAACAATAAATTGACAATAATTCCCAATTAACCAACGACCAAAATATTAGTTTCTATTATCCCCGCTCTCTTCAAAAAACAACCTTGTCCTCAAGGTTGTCTCTAGATCACTTGGTTTCCTCCTTTCCGGCCTCGGCGTACGCTGCCGCGTCTTTAGCTTTGTCCTCCCAGCGCTCTACTAGCATCATCAGGTCTGGTCTTGCGCATTGATGGCTAACGGTGAACCGTCCATCACAATTGAAGCACTTGCCCTCCCGCCGCTTCTTCTTGATCTCACCAAGAGTTACAAGCCCGAATCCTCTCGGCAGCTGCCGCGGTCAAACTCTGGCCACTGTGGTTGGGGCAGCCTCGGTGTTCCCACTCCCGGCGCGCCGCCTATCGCCGACCCTCCTCTGCCGGCGCCGCTGCCACTTCCTCCCCCGCTCGGTCGTGGGTAACAGCCTATGCTGCTCCTCCATCTCGCGAGCTCTTCCTCCTTATGATCTGCAAGAAGAAAAGCATATTTCAAGGAGTCCGACACAAAGACTCTGACCGCTGTTGCTGTCTCGGGCTTCACTCCCGCCATGCATAGCTCAACCAGCGTGTCCTCAGGCACCCCCCTGCATTGGTTACACAACTTAAAGAATTATGCTCGGTACTCTGCCACCGTTCCTGTCTGCTTAAGCTTAGCAAGTTGCTCCGGAGCGGCCCTCCAACTTACCAAACTAGTAGCGGAGCTTCTCCTGAAACATAGGCCAGGTGATTAAGGTCTCCGCTTCCGCATAGGACCTTTCCATCCACTCCAACCAATGAAGCGCGTCGCCCACCGCTCAGCTGCATACAACTAGAGGCCTGCGTCCTCTTGCCCATTGAATTTGGGAAACTCAATGGTAGGAGGTTTGGCCCGGAAAATTATACCATTAGCTCCTTCATAAGTATGACAATACGACCCATACCTGTCATAACCCGGCGTCCTCCCCGGCTGGCCACGCAAGAACCCTTGCTCTTTGTTCCGATGAACTATGTCGTAGCCGCCTTGGTAGCCGCCCGGATGGTCCAGGTATCCTCCCTACATGGCCGAGAACCCCCGTCGATCCTCCCCCTGTGACGTAATTGGATTCGTCGTCATGTGTGGAGCCCTTGAAGGCCCGCCGGGGGCGCTGATCGGCCCATACGCACTCTTTCAGCACGCAGATCCCTTGCTGTCTGTCCTTCTCGATGGTTGGTCAGTTGGATTTGGTTGGTGTCCGGCTCGACCCACTTCGGGTCGACCAGTACTGGTCCACCCGGACTCGGTCTGACCCACCTCGGACCAGCGCCGGTCCACCTAGACTCGATCCATCCCCCCTCGGCTCGACCAGCACCGGTCCAATCATGCTTGGTCCGTCCGGTGAGAATTGACATTATCCGCCCGATCGGTTCGGCCCCCTTACTCAGGTCCCAGCTCCTCTAGTCCGGGATTGGTTTGGCCCACTGTGTCTGCCTATCCACAAGACTAAGCTCGTCGTCGGCGGGCTCATTGTCCAGGCCCAACCAACCTAGCCCATTGGCGCCGTGAGAAAACCCCACCGCCATTTGCGGCCCAGGATTCAGAAAACGGCCCTCCGCGTCGTAGCCCGACATCTTGTTTTTACCTTTGCAAGCGTCTTCGCCGCCGGTTAGCCCCCGGTGGTTGGCCCGCGCGCACCTCCTCCTGCTCGCATGAGGGCGGCGGCCAGCATCTCCTTCATCTCGCCTAAAGCGTGCCACAACGCTAGCGAGTCCGCCTCGCGAGCCTCCTCTTTTTCCAACAAGACAGGCATGAGGACTGGTGGTTCTTGGACTTAAGGTGCAACAACCATATGACAGGAGACAGAATGTGGTTCATTGAGTTGAATACCAACTCCCTATGCACTGTTCGACTTGGTAATAACAGTATACTGGAAGGTGCAGCAAAGGGGAGTATCAAAATTGAAGTTGACAACATGAACATGATCATTAGCGATGTCTTTTATGTCCCTGGTATGAAGACCAATCTGCTGAGCATTGGTCAGCTACAAGAGAAGGGTCTGGCATTCCTTTTCAAAGATGGAAATTGCAAGATTTATCAGGAAGAAAGGGGTATGTTTTGCAGCCTGAGATGAAGTCAAATAGGATGTTTGTAATACATCCTGAAGTCCATTCAAATGGAGAGGAAGTCCAGTGTTATCATATTGCAAATGGCAAGGAGAAAGAACTGGAGCTATGGCACAGAAGATTTGGTCATGTTAATCTCAAGGGACTCAAGCAATTGCAACAGAAGGGATTTTTCAAAGATCTACCAGCTTTGAAGGATGATCTGCAAGTCTGTGCTACTTGTCTCATTGGCAAGCAACAAAGGAAACCATTTCCTAAGAAGAGCTTATGGAGAGCAAGTCAAAAGATGGAGTTGATACATGTTGATCTCAGTGGACCTCTTACTCCAGTCTCAAATGGTGGGAAAAGGTATATACTTACTCTGACATATGACTTTAGCAGAAAACTGTGAGTTTACATCCTGGTTCTATTTCAAAAACTCTTGAGTGGTATAGAAAATATAAAGCTCAAGTTGAGCAAGAAACTGGTTTACAGATCAAATGGTTAAGAACAGATAGGGGAGGAGAATTCATGCTCCATGAATTCAAGAATCTATGTGATGAAGCTGGCATAAAAAGGAAACTGACAACTGCCTTAACACCCCAGCGGAATGGGGTAACTGAAAGGAGAAATATAACAGTGTTAAACATGGTTAGGTGTATGCTAACAGACATGCAGGTACCTGCTGTTTTCTGGCCATAAGCAGTTGCTTGGACAACTCATATTTTGAACAGGGGTTCAGCAAATCAAGGGAAAACTCCACAAGAGCTATGGATTGGAAGTCCTCCTTCTATGTCTCATTTTCGAGTTTTTGGTAGGGTTGTATATGTGCATGTTCCTGATCAGCAAAGGAGGAAGTTGGATGACAAAGTACCATCTGTCATTTTCTTGGTATCTTAGTTGATTCAAAAGCTTACAAGCTTATAACCCCAGCACCAAAAAGGTTGTGGTTAGTAGAGATGTAATTTTTTATGAAACTAAAGGATGGAAATGTGATTCTGAAGAGGAGCATGTCCTCACACAATTGAACTGGGAAGGAGGTGATCAGGAGTGGTTTGATTCAGACATAGAAGGTGATTTTGAAGATTCACCTAGGTTAGTTGTTGCTGCAGCCTGCAGACACTGCTGAAGACACAGAACCAGCACAACCTACTACCCCAAAAACACCAGAAGGATCAAAAGAGGCTGGAGAAGGAGATGGAACAAATGATGATGATGTTATGGATGGAGGCGCAACAAATATGGGGAAAAGGATCAGCAAGCTACCTGGTCATTTTCCGAATTTTGATATGGGTTTCACTGGTACTAATTGGGTGGCTATGGTTTCCATAAATGATGATCCTCAAACATTTGAGGAAGCAATGTTTGATACCAAATGGAATGCAGCAACGAAGGAAGAGATGCATTCCATCAAGAAGAACAACACCTGGTCTCTAACCACTCTACCAGAAGATTTTAAAGCTGTTGGCTTGAAGTGGGTGTACAAGACCAAACTGCAGGAGGATGGAGGTGTAGACAAATTCAAAGCCAGAATTGGGGCTAAAGGATATTCTCAGCAACAATGCATAGACTAAACAGTGGTCTTTGCTCCAGCAACTTGTTGGGACACTATCAGGACCTTCTTGCCACTGGCAGCATATCATGGCCTCTTAGTTTATTAACTGGATGTAAAGAGTTCTTTCCTCAATGAAGAGCTTACTGAAAAAGTTTATGTGGAGCAACCACCGGGGTTTGTGGTTGCTGGGGAGGAGCATAAGGTCTACAGACTTCACAAGGCTCTCTATGGCCTTATGCAGGCACCTAGAGCCTGGTACAACATGATAGAATCTGACTTCATGCAGTCTGGGTTTGAGAGGAGTCCCTATGAGCATGCACTGTTCATCAAGAGAACTGGAACTGATATTCTGGTCTTAGATCTTAAGTCTATATGTGGACGACTTAATGTATGCTAGTAGTGATCTAAAAATGCTTGCTGAGTTCAAACAAGCAATGCAATCCGAGTTTGAGATCACTGATCTAGGTAAGATGCACTATTTCCTGGGAGTTGAAGTTAATCAAAAGGATTATGGAGTGTTCATAAGTCAACAAATGTATGTGAAGGAGATACTGTACAAGTTCAATCTCTCAAATTGTAACTATGTGCACCATCCAATGAGTCCTGGCAGCAAGTTGAGCAATGCTGGAGATGGAGTGATGGTGAACCCTACTGAATACAAGCAACTGATAGGAAGCTTGTTCTATGTGACAGCAACACGACCTGATATTATGTACTCAGTTTGCCTTCTTAGCAGGTATATGGAGCATCCAACGAGGCAACACATGCTGGCTACCAAGAGGGTGTTGAGATACCTAAAGGGAACATCAGTTTTGGCATCTAGTACAAGCGAAGGAGTGAAACAGAGGAGGAACTGTTAAGCTATACTGATAGCCACTATGTAGGAGATACCGATGATAGGAAGAGCACAAGTGGATATGTGTTCTTTCTGGCAGGAGGAGTCACTTCTTGGGCTTCAAAGAAGCAACCTGTGGTCACATTATCTACTACTGATGCAGAATTTGTTGTTGCAGCTCACTGTGCAGCACAATGTGTCTGGCTCAGAAGAATCTTAGAACAGATGGGATGGAAGAAGAGTATGGGAGGAGCAACAACCATATTTTGCGACAACAATTCAGCAATCAAGCTTTCTAAGAACCCAGTGCTTCACGGCAGAAGCAAGCACATTGATGTGCGGTTTCATTTTCTAAGGGAACTGGCGAATGAAGGCATGATCGAGCTTGAATACTATGGCACTCATGAATAGGTTGCAGACATTATGACCAAGCTGTTGAAGTTGGAAGTGTTCCAGCTGCTAAGGAGCAAGAGATGGGTTTATGTGATGTCACCGAGTTCTTCTCTGAAGATTGAATTTTGGTTTGATTGAACTGCACATTGGAGAGAAGGTTCAGTTCAGGGGAGGATTTGTTGGAGTCAGATTCGAGTTGCAGCAAGTAAAGCAATCCAAATTCGAGCAGGAGAAGGATTGGTTTGGCGCCAAGTTCAAACAAGTGTCTTAGAAATAAAGAAACGTTGTCGTTTCAGTTAGTTGAGTGTGTTCGGTCTGTCGAGTGGTCAATTGTATTTTTGGTCCTAAAGTTCTATCAAGAGTCAAGTTAGTCCAGTAAATGGTTTGAGTGGGTTGAGAGTTTGCAGCTGCTATAGAGACTGTCTCTATAGCAGCTGCAACTTATTATTATTGCAGCTGCAACTTATGATTATTTATAGAGGCAGTCTGTTTCGGCTGAAACTTATGATTATTTATGTTCTCGCATTAATTTCTAGTAAAGTCCTCAGATTGCAATATTTTTGTGTGCTACAGTTATATGGTTAATCTGTATAACCAATTAACTAAATCAATTAAACTTTAGTTTGGTTAATTTGGTTGTTTGATTAGTTTGGACGGTTTGGTTATAATATTGTATTCCTTGGTTAATAGATATTTGGCTTGTTTGTTTTGTAATTACTATGGTAACCATTTGTACACCCCTAACTGAAACCATTTGGAATAGGCACAGCAAAAAAATCTGTTTCTATTCACGGGACGGGAATAAAATTTATATGTTTTCAGTCTTCATTTCTCATGATTAATAGTTAGCCACGGTTAATTTCCGTGAGAAATTTGAGAATTTAATTCTGAGAACATTTTATACAAGAAGGCGGCAAACTTACTTTGGTTTTGAATATTTTGTTTGGAGATTGCTATTCGTCGTCCTAAAAAGCCTTAATCGTCGCCCTAATTATATTATATTTTCTCTAATGACCTAGTTTATTATTATTATTATTATTTTCAACTGCAGAGGCCAACTTTTGAGCTTTGACTTTTTCGGATAGGAAAAGCGGCATCTCCCGAAAGCAAACAAGCGGGAACTAGGGTTTCACCTTGATGGCGGCAGTATCGGCGTCCTCAGCGCCGGCTACTACGAAAAAATCCCTATAAACAATAAGCGGGGTCTTGGGTCAGCCTACAGATTCTTCCTCTACGAATTCAAAGAGTGAGAAGGAAGTTGTGCAGGCAAAAAAGAAGGTGCGACCTTTGAACTTGGATAACAATGGGAACCTGTATGGGGACGTACAGATGTGAGAGACGATGGAGACTGAAACTGAAAAGCCAAAGGAAACCAAAACTGATCACCATAACGCATGGGAAGCAGGTAGGCCAAAAATATCAAGTCTGAACACGTGGGAGGAGGATTGGTATGTGGAGGAGTCTAATACAGAGGATGTCCTACTAGCTGAAAAGGAGGAGGACGATATAGTGATTACAGAAAAGGAA